GTTGTTATTGGTGGTTGGAGTTAATCCTTTAGTGTTCTTTTAAAATTGGAGTTACCTTCTACCACTGTTGTTATTGGTGGTTGGAGTTAATCCTTTATTGTTCTTTTAAAATTGGAGTTACCTTCTACCACTGTTGTTATTGGTGGTTGGAGTTAATTCTTTATTGTTCTTTTAAAATTGGAGTTACCTTCTACCACTGTTGTTATTGGTGGTTGGAGTTAATCCTTTATTGTTCTTTTAAAATTGGAGTTACCTTCTACCACTGTTGTTATTGGTGGTTGGAGTTAATCCTTTATTGTTCTTTTAAAATTGGAGTTACCTTCTACCACTGTTGTTATTGATGGTAGGAGTTAATCCTTTATTGTTCTTTTAAAATTGGAGTTACCTTCTACCACTGTTGTTATTCGTGGTTGGAGTTAATCCTTTATTGTTCTTTTAAAATTGGAGTTACCTTCTACCACTGTTGTTAATCAAGGTTGGAGTTAATCCTTTATTGTTCTTTTAAAATTGGAGTTACCTTCTACCACTGTTGTTATTGGTGGTTGGAGTTATTCCTTTATTGTTCTTTTAAAATTGGAGTTACCTTCTACCACTGTTGTTATTGGTAGTTGGAGTTAATCCTTTATTGTTCTTTTAAAATTGGAGTTACCTTCTACCACTGTTGTTAATCAAGGTTGGAGTTTAATAAGAGTCGCAGTTAACATTTCGTTATTGTTTAACTAAGAGTTGGCGTTAACCCTGTTTTAAAAATGGTTGGAGTTAATATTTCGTTACTGTTTTCATACGATTTGTGTGCGATTTCTGGTAGTAAGGAGAAAAAGTTGATATTAATACAGTAATCTTTACTTTCATAGTACAAACACTACAATGAAATATACTTAACTTATTACATGTTAATCTTAATTTGCTAATAACATATTTTAAACCTGGATTTTCCTTCTAGAATTTCTGTTGCACAGAGTTTTATTTTGTTCATTATTTGTTTTAAAATGCTAGAAATACGTAGTTGGATTTCCTATAAATCCAACAGGAAAACCTTTTAATTTAAACCTGGATTTAACGAAGCTTGAACTAAAATTAATTGTTAACAAACTGATTTTTAAAAACAAGGGTTAAATAGATTACTTAATGGTCCAGTTGCTACTTACTTTCAGAATAATGCATGCAACATGCTTCTTGTTTTTACCATTTGTAGATCCACCGGAACTTACGTTAAGACTCGGCAGCAAGCTACGTCACTCTCACATCCAGGTCGGAAATGACGTGTACCTAGAGTGTAACATTAGGGCTAATCCTTGGGTGACCGAAATAGGCTGGAAGTTTGAAGGACGCGAGCTCCAGACCGACACAACCGTGGGTGTCATTGTCAGCAATCAGTCCCTGGTTTTACAAAAAGTACAACGCTCCAGCAGAGGGCGCTATATGTGTTTTGCAAAAAACTCCGAGGGCTTAGGGGAGAGTAATGTCTTACACTTACGTGTTCAATGTAAGTAGCAAACTTTGTTGTACAAGTTAGTTTTACGTTGCTTCTTCTGTTATAGAATTCATGTTCATTCATTCCAAAAAACATCTTCAAGTTGCTCTTAGCTGTTCAGAAAGATACATCACTATCTGTGAATAGAACATAAAACTGGACATGTATGTGGTTCTGATGTTTAGGTAGAAACATGAGTTCTTATGAATAGAACATAAAACTGGACATGTATGTGGTTCGGATGTTTAAGTAGAAACATGAATTCTTATGAATAGAACATAAAACTGGACATGTATGTGGTTCGGATGTTTAAGTAGAAACATGAATTCTTATGAATAGAACATAAAACTGGACATGTATGTGGTTCGGATGTTTAGGTAGAAACATGATTTCTTATGAATAGAACACAAAACTGGACATGTATGTGGTTCGGATGTTTAAGTAGAAACATGAATTCTTATGAATAGAACATAAAACTGGACATGTATGTGGTTCGGATGTTTAGGTAGAAACATGATTTCTTACGAATAGAACACAAAACTGAACATTTATTTGGTTTGGATGTTTAGGTAGAAACATGATTTCTTACGAATAGAACACAAAACTGAACATTTATTTGGTTTGGATGTTTAGGTAGAAACATCATTGTCAGGTTTTGTTTTTGTGGATTTTCTACATTAAGCGTCTGTGAATCGTTGACGGTAAAGGTAACTATGAATGAACAGCATGCACCACACTAGTTTAAATATCAACATATATATTCTGAACTAAATAGATCAGCATAGACAAGAACTTTGCCCTGTCCGTAACTCTTCCTCGACCTTTTGATTCTTTCTGCTCCTCTGGCCAACTTTATACCTTTCGTCCCATCTTCGGTTCGCCACCACCCCTTCACTTTCAATTCCCACGCGCCACTTCTATAATCTCGACAACAAAGAGTCACAAACGCAGAACACAACATCAAAATTATAAAAACAAAGAAATAATACAACAGTAGTCATACAACACAACAAATCAGTAATAGTCTTATATATAGTGACAAGCATTTCTTATAAATAGAACATAAAACTGGACAGGAATGTTGTTCGGATGTTTAGGAAGAAACATGATTTCTTATTAATTCAGGACACGTTCAGTAAGTTTCAGTAAAAAAACTCAAACATGGGGTTCGTAGATGAAATCTGAAATGGAAAACATTCTCCGCTGGTAACAGAACGAAGAAGAAAATATTCTCCACTAGTAACAGAACGAAGAATCTGAACAAAAATACGAAGGTTTTTTTAAAATTAAAAACAACCTTAGTTGTAGGAGGTTTAATTACCGAATTATTGCTTTTATTCTGGGAATTTTGCCTCAGGAGATGTAAATAAAATAATACGTAATAGTATAATAAAAACTAATCTAGAGTGGAAGAGAGATTTGTGTTAAATATTACCATCTCAAAACTTTTCTAGTCTTTGTTGACTTTGATATAAAATAATCTATATAGGAAGATCCAAGAAAACAAAAACATACTGACAGTCTCGTCTTGACTAAGTTTTTATTAAACAGCTAGCACCACGTGTCCACAGTTGAATAGTGCTGTGACAATCTCATCTTGACTACGTTTTTATTAAACAGCTAGCACCACGTGTCCACAGTTGAATAGTGCTGTGACAATATCGTCTTGACTAAGTTTTTATTAAACAGCTAGCACCACCTGTCCCCAGTTCAATCGTGCTGTGACAGTCTTGTCTTGACTAAGTTTTTATTAAACAGCTAGCACCACGTGTCCACAGTTGAATAGTGCTGTGACAATCTCATCTTGACTAAGTTTTTATTAAACAGCTAGCACCACATGTCCACAGTTGAATCGAGCTGTGACAATCTCGTCTTGACTAAGTATTTATTAAACAGCTTGCACCACATGTCCACAGTTGAATCGTGCTGTGACAATCTCGTCTTGACTAAGTTTTTATTAAACAGCTAGCACCACCTGTCCACAGTTGAATCGTGCTGTGACAATCTCGTCTTGACTAAGTTTTTATTAAACAGCTAGCACCACATGTCCACAGTTGAATCGTGCTGTGATAATCTCGTCTTGACTAAGTTTTTATTAAACAGCTAGCACCACCTGTCCACAGTTGAATCGTGCTGTGACAATATCGATGACAATGTAGGTTTTAGTGTTACTGGTAATACTACTGGTATCATAGGTTTTAGTGTTACGGGTAATACTACTGGTATCATAGGTTTAGTGTTACAGGTAATACTACTGGTACTGTAGGTTTTAGTGTTACAGGTAATACTACTGGTATCATAGGTTTTAGTGTTACAGGTAATACTACAAGTACTGCAGGTTTTAGTGTTACAGGTAATACTACTAGTACTGCAAGTTTTAGTGTTACAGTTAATAGTACTGGTATCATAGGTTTTAGTGTTACAGGTAATACTATTGGTACTGTAGGTTTTAGTGTTTCAGGTAATACTACTGGTATTGTAGGTTTTAGTGTTACGGGTAATAGTACTGGTACTGTAGGTTTTAGTGTTACAGGTAATACTACTGGTATTTTATGTCTTACCATTACATTGTTCTTTTATTCGACTGCAGAGCCGTCTAGTAACTGATCTAATAACTCCCTGGTTGAACTTTGGTTAATTTAATCAGTGGATGTTGTTTGATTTTAATATTACCCTGCTTTAAAGGCATTTTAACTGATCTAATAACTCCCTGGTTGAACTTTGGTTAATTTAATCAGTGGATGTTGTTTGATTTTAATATTACCCTGCTAAGTTACCCAAAGTTCAACCAGGGAGTTATTAGATCAGTTAAAATGCCTTTAAAGCAGGGTAATATTAAAATCAAACAACATCCACTGATTAAATTACCCAAAGTTCAACCAGGGAGTTATTAGATCAGTTAAAATGCCTTTAAATCAGTGGATGTTGTTTGATTTTAATATTACCCTGCTTTAAAGGCATTTTAACTGAATATAACTGTCTTATTAATCACTTGTGAAACAGTCTAAATAGGGTATGACGAATTTAACAAGATAAGAACAGACTGCGTTATTGAGTTTTTCTGTGTTTGTTTGGATTATTCTATTTAGAAATGACATGGAAAAACAATTCGTTCTAAGCATATATTTATTGTTCTCAATTTCTGTTTTAAAAAAAAATTATTTGCTAATATTTTCAAAGGTTTGTATAATACGGTTTGTAACCAGGGTTAATTTAAAAATTAAAGAACTATAAAAATGTCTTAAGTTAAATAGAAAGAAATGTTAAGTAGAAATAATATTTTCGCACATAGGCCTAGTGGTTAATGTGTTTGGACTGTGAACCCAGAGGTCAAAACTAAAAAATTCTTTATGAATCCTTAAAAATGTTTCTATCTACAGTTCACTAAAGATCTAAAGTAAATATTTCCTGGAAATCCTGTTGTTTCTTTCGGAAAAACAACAACAGCAAAAGCCTAAGAATAATTCTTGTTCACCCTAAGGTCACTATCCTGCTCCACAGAGTGGGCAATCCCTTTATAAAAGGTATTCTTGTTCACCCTAAGGTCACTATCCTGCTCCACAGAATGGGTAATCCCTTTATAAAAGGTGTTCTTGTTCACCCTAAGGTCACTATCCTGCTCCACAGAATGGGTGATCCCTTTATGAAAGGTATTCTTGTTCACCCTAAGGTCACTATCCTGCTCCACACAATGGGTGATCCCTTTATAAAAGGTATTCTTGTTCACCCTAAGGTCACTATCCTGCTCCACAAAATGGGCAATCTCTTTATAAAAGGTATTCTTGTTCACCCTAAGGTCACTATCCTGCTCCACGGAATGGGTAATCCCTTTATAAAAGGTATTCTTGTTCACCACAAGGTCACTATCCTGCTCCACAGAATGGTAATCCCTTTATAAGAGGTATTCTTGTTCACTCTAAGGTCATCAGACTGCTCCACAGAATGGTAATCCCTATATTAGAGGGTGGTCTATATATTGGGTGGTCCCTTTATATTAAAGTTCAATATCAGACGTATAAGTTTTCAAACATACACACCAGTACTTTCTCTGAACATGAAAAACCAGTTTCTTGTCAAAATATATCTTATACAATGCAAGACATGCATCTATCAGTTGAACAACTCCAGACTACCATTATAGAAAGGCTTAATAACCAGAAATTCTGTGTTAAGATTTAAAAAGATCTTGTTGTCGCACGCTTTACCCAGCTTGGTCACTTCACCATTAACTTAGTTCTTATTAGTAGTGAAACCTGCTTTAAAAGACACCTACAGGATCAATATTTTAAACACTGTAACCCCCATATTGTATGAACTTTAACCTAGTCCTTAATGACCTCCATCCTTTAAATCAAATCTTTCTAGAAAATCTTAGAAAATTTTGATTTCAAACGAATTACGTTAGAATTACCTTAACATTTTAACTGGCATTGCTTAATTAAATTCTTCTTAATCTGTGTATTGTAGTCATTTATCTAATATCTATTATTTTTGTGTTATCATCAATAACGGCCCAGTGATTAGCGGATCTGTGGTTATATGGTGAACTTTCCTTCATTTGGTTTGTAATCAATAACGGCCCAGTGATTAGCGGATCTGTGGTTATATGGTGAACTTTCCTTCATTTG